TTTTTTCGTAATCCAAAACTTTTTCTATTATTTTTTGGTTTTTTCTAATTTTATTATATGTATTTTTTTCAAGTTTAACATTTTAAAAAATGTTTTTATTTTTTTGATTTATAATTTTTTTTACATATCCTTTTTTATTTATTTTAAAATCTTGTTACAATTTGATTTGTATTTGTTTTTTCTATAGTATTAGCGTAATTTAGTTTTACTCTTTTATAGATTTATTATTTTTATTTTATTATTTTCCTCTATTTTGTCACTTCCCAGAATTGCAGTACATACATACCCGCGTTATTTTCAAGATTTTTGTTTATAATTAAAATTGCTTTTGTTTATATTTTCGCTACTCAATACCCAATAACTATAAAATTCCAAACACGCTGTATGGCAATCAAAATCATGCCGATCGCCGCCTCCTCATGTTGAACTGTTGCAACACCACGCACCGGCACATCCGTTCACACATCTCTTTAATTTCAAATAGTATTTCGACATCAACGTTTTTCATCGTGTAAATATTTAGCTGCATTTTTTATGCTTTATTTATTTACCCCAATATAGTAAAATCTCACTTTATTTGTTCGGAAGCAATGTGGCGGGGAAATGAAGCAATCGCTAGCGTTTCATTTTCGCTGCGAATTTCCGCTTTTTCGGAATATTTTATGACCTCCGTTGCTAGTTTGCGCAAGTTGCTAGGCAATTTCCACATTTTCTTTATTCAAATATGAGTTTCATGTTTACCATAGTTTTACGGTAAAATACATTAAAAAGTTGTTTGAAGTTTAAAAATACTTTGTAGTTGACTGAGTATATCGCACACCGCCTTCAAAAGGGGCACAACTCAAAATTACACGTTTGTCAGAAAATGTGAAAAACTACATTTTTCTTGGCACACGATAATCATATGGGCAAGAGAGATTTTAACCTTAGGGGTTTTTAACAAATTATAACAAAAATTTGCTCCAGCGTTTGCTGTAATAAGAGTAAATGCTCTGTTTACATTTTAGCGCATAATTTCCAAAATGCCAAATTTTGAGTTGTGCCCCTTTTGAAGACGGTGTGCGAGATATTTTACTGTGCTGTAAACAGCGAGTTCGACGAAATTTTGGGCGTTATTGCTCTTAATTTTTATGGAAGGGTGGTACTAAAAGAAGTTTATAACCATAAAGTTTGATGATTCTTTCAAGAACTTACAAAGCACATTCACGTGTGCCTGATGTTTCATTGACAGGTAGTGCGCTAAAAAGTATACATTTCTCATCATCACATTTAACTTTAAATAATAAAATATTATTAAAAGAAATATATATGTATTTAGTTTCGACTTGCTCAAATTGTTTAACGAAAAAGTATGCTAGTTAAAAAGTCATCCTCGCCAACTACTTAATAGCCGTCGGAACTTCGCTCTTCCAAAACTTTGCTCTTTTTCAGTGGCCTGTTTTCTATTGAATGTTGTCACACCTTTATCGCTTATTTAAATTTATATCCTCCTTAACCCATAACTGCTAACATAAAAATAATTCTCATAATATTAATTTATCTCTCTATCTCTGTTACCCTCTTCCAGTGCGCAGTTGTCGTGCCGGCAAATCCGTACAAATGTCCGAGGCCGAAGTGCGTGGTCTCTGCCTAAAATCACGTGAAATTTTTCTACAACAACCCATTCTACTGGAACTCGAGGCACCACTTATCATATGCGGCGACATACACGGCCAGTACACGGACTTGCTGCGTCTTTTTGAGTATGGCGGTTTTCCGCCAGCAGCCAATTATCTCTTCCTTGGCGACTATGTTGATCGGGGTAAACAGTCGTTGGAGACTATTTGCCTACTGTTGGCCTACAAAATTAAATATCCGGAGAATTTCTTCTTGCTGCGCGGCAATCACGAATGCGCCAGTATTAATAGGATCTATGGTGGGTGCTTTTGAATATAGATATGTAGATATGTAATCATTTAACCTCGCTGATTTTTTCTACCTTTTTCATTTAACTTAGGCTTCTACGACGAATGCAAACGCCGCTACAATGTGAAATTGTGGAAGACCTTCACAGACTGCTTCAATTGCCTACCCGTTGCCGCTATTATCGATGAGAAGATTTTCTGTTGTCACGGTGGTCTGAGTCCTGATTTGCAGGGCATGGAACAGATACGTCGCCTTATGCGTCCAACTGATGTACCCGATACCGGCCTGTTGTGCGATTTGCTGTGGAGTGATCCCGATAAAGATGTGCAGGGTTGGGGTGAGAATGATCGTGGCGTGAGTTTCACATTTGGCGTGGATGTGGTGTCGAAGTTCTTACATCGGCACGAACTGGATCTCATCTGTCGAGCGCATCAGGTGAGTGGATGTGGGAAATAACCTAATTTTACTTTCGAAAGTATATACAACTTAAGCATTTTGCTCATAGTGTATTTAAGTAATCTACCAAAATAGTGAACGGTTACGAAATCTTGAAATTTAAATTTCCCTCAGAACAATCGAAAATATATTTAGATGGACTTCCGTCGATAGGAATAGGGAAATTCGAAAATTTAAAATAAAATAAAAAAATATGAACATAATCAAAATTATAAGTTTTGCAGCTTCGAATTTCCATTAGAAAATATTTATTTGAAAATTTAATTCAAAACTGTTGACATAAAATTTTAATTGTTTTGGAAAATTTAAAAATTTTGAAATAAATTTGCATTAACATATTGCTCTAAACTTCCAACAAAAAATTTGAATTTAAAAATATATTTCGAATCAAGACAATGCAATGAGCCATGGCTAAAAAGCATTCAGAAATTGCAGATATTAATAACTTTGCGTTGTAACGATTTCGAAGTTTTGAATTTTAGTTATTTTGAATTTTCGTTATTTCGATGTTTTATAACTCAGAAACTTCGAAAAATATTTAAAATCCATAATTTACTTTTATTTTATGTTTAAAAAGACATTGTAAAAAAAGTTTTAAAACGTTTGTCGAATTTCTTATTTTTTTCAAATTTAATTTTGCAAACTTAATTTTTTCAAGCTTCTTATATTTCAAACTTTTTGCTTTTGCCATTTTCTTATTTTTTAAACGTTTTTATTTTTTTCAAACTAAACTTCTTAAATTTAATTTTGCAAACTTCATTTTTCAAACTTATTTTTTCAAGCTTTTTATTTTTTAAATTTTTTACTATTGTCATTTTCTTATTTTTTAAACGTTTTATTTTTTTCAAACTAAACTTCTTATTTTTTAAACCTTTTAATTTTTTCAATCTTTTTATTTTTTTAAACTTATTTTTTGTAAAATTCTTATTTTTTCAAACTTCTTATCATTTTCGAATGTGTTATTTTCGCAAACTTCAATTTTTTTCTATACTTTCAACATTTGTGCAAACTTTCAAAAATCTTTGAAACTTTCAAAATTTTTCCAAAGATATTTTTTCCAAACCTTAACGCTATTTTCAAACTCCAAATTTTTCCAAACTTTAAAACTTTTTTCCTTACCTTCAACTTTAATTTAAATTTCCAGTTTTTTCCATATTTTTCCAAACGTAAAATTTTTTTCAAACATAGATTTTTTCTACTTTCAAAATTTTTGAACTTTTTATTTTTTTGTAAACCATGTTTTTTTCCAAACATTAAATTTTTCCCAAACTTTAAATTTTTTTCTAAATAAAAATATATTTCTTTTTTTGTAATACCCAACAATTTCGAAATTCTTTCGAACGCGAATAGTTAAAAATTTGTGTGTGCTTCGAATTTTGACGCCAGATTAAAAAAGGTTCACAGCCATTTTTTTTAGCAAAGCTACCGTTTTCGAAATGCATTGAATACTTGCATTTCGATTTTCTCATAATTCACTTCGCCTTCTATTTCAGGTCGTCGAAGATGGCTACGAATTCTTTGCGCGCCGCCAACTGGTCACACTATTCTCGGCGCCAAACTACTGCGGTGAATTCGATAATGCTGGCGGCATGATGACTGTGGATGATACGCTAATGTGCTCGTTCCAGGTGAGTACAAACATGTCCATATAAATATTTTTATATATTATAAAACTTTGAAAATCTTCAACCTTCTCTCACAGATCCTCAAACCATCCGAGAAGAAAGCGAAATACTTGTACAGCGGCATGAATTCGTCGCGACCAACAACACCACAACGCAATGCACCGCTAATAGCATCGAATAAAAAGGGCAAATAATATATCCATCCACTTCCATTTCCTTAAAAGTTAATTAATTACTATATAAAATTAAAATTCGAAAATATAAATGAGAATGCAAACAAGCAAAACAATGAAAACTGTAACAACAAAAAACCACAGAATAAACAGAAAAAGCAAACGAAGCGCGCTAGCAGCAAGTAAGGATAAAAAATAAAAATAAAAAAAAATAAAAAAAAAAATTTAAAAAAAATTAAACAAAAAAAAACGAACGAGTTAAACAGTGGGAGATGTATCAGCAATTATAGCAACAATAATACAACAACAATACACAGATTACAGTGAAATGAAAGAAATGTGCAACATAATTAAAAAAAGAAAAAATTATTATAAACCGCAATTAGCAAACATTTATTAAATAAATACAAATACATAAACGATAAGATTTTATTTAAACAAATATATTAGTAAAAAAACGCTTGTAATGCCTGCAGGCAGACAAAACTGCAAAGGTCCGTAACAAATATCTATGATCATACATATATGTACTGATTTAATTTTCTGTTATCATTTTTATTTTTAGTAAAGCGTAAATAAACCGCTGAAAGATGTATACATTTTATATATAATTCATATTTCACGAAAAAAGAGATAAAATAAAACTCATGTAGGAAATTGTTGTTGTGTAAGAGCATAAAGCGGGATAAAATCCATTACACTATATGCTAAAATAAACAACAAAAGTTGCAGATCTGTATTCAAATACAAACAAACAAAAAAAGTTATATAGGAAGATTGAAGCTTCGGTTGTGTGGGCTGAGCTGCTGATGTGACAGGAAAGAAGTTTAAATGTGACAAGTGTGAAAAAGCGCGAGAAAAAAGGCTTAAGAAAGAAAAGTCGATAATTTTCATAACTAAGAAGAACCATCGAATAAATCTATTTTAACTTGAAGAAAGAAGGCCTTAAATAAAAAAAAAGATGGAAAAAGCGAATCAAAGTAATGCGTTTATTTACAATTTTTTCTCTATAGAATACAAATCTTTAAGTTCGAATCGAGAATTCGAAAGCTTTAAAAAATATCTGTCTGTCATTTCCAAAGCATTTAATTTTTTTTATCTATATAAATGCCTTTTAAGCAAAAAAATCACATTGCATTTCAAAAGTTGTTGCCGATTTTAAAAATTCACCTGCAAGAATTGCCTTTTGTTCTGTATTTATAATTATTTGAAATTGAGAAACTGGAAAACTCGAATTTCGCAAAAATTTGTCACATAAATTTGGCAGTTCCAAAGTTTTAAGAATTTCGAGACATTAAAAACTTTACGAGTTTCGAAAGTTTTTTGTTGCGATAATCATAGTATACGAAAATTTACATATAAATCATAAACTTAGTTTAAAATCTAACAGAGAATTTCTGTAAGTTCTGCAATTTTAGTCAAGGATTCGGGACCTTAATTTTGGTACAAGTTTCGAAATGCTCGATCTAAAATTTTGGCAACATAATTTTAAAACTATTATCGAAATTTCAAAAAATATTTACAATTTAACAAATTAAAAACTGGACCACTTTACAATTGCCTTTCAATTGAAATTTCTCACTAGCGTGATTTTCGAAAGTGTGAAATAAATGCATACATCAAATTATCGCGAAAGGTGAGTAAGCCCAAAAAAAATTCTTGTTGTGTTTAAGAAATACCTACGGCACCTTTTCACCTTTAGGTAGCAATATGCTGCTTAATCAGTAGCAGTTTAGAAATTTCGAAAATACAATGAAAATTTTCGGGTTCGAAATTGTTTTTCAACATAAAATTGCATATTGAACTGAAGGGGCAGAAAATGATTTTTTGAAAATGGAAAGCGCCAAACAAAATTTCGAACCCAAATTTTAACTAAAAATTTGGCAAATCCGAAGAAATACAAGAATATCACTTCCCCTAACAAGAAAAATTATGTCGTCGCGAATCAATTTCGAAATTGCTTCATAAAAAGTTGTTTGAAACTGAACAACCGCTACAAAAACAAAAAAAAGTTTAACTAAATAAATCAAACATTAGCTGCATTTTAGAAATTTCGAAAAACCAATAAAATTATGTGTACCCAAATCTGTGCTTAAATGTTCAGCAGCAAACGTACGAGCAACAAAAATTTTTCGAAATCGGTTTGGGACGTTGCACATTTTCCGGTCGTGGGATAACCTCTCTAACAGCTATGCTGGCAAACTGAAGCGTTTTCTTAATTTTGAATAATAATACATTTTGTGAAATTCTTAAATAAATTTATTGTCAGCTGTAAAGTTTTTAATCGCAATTTTTTAGCAACCCTATTTAATATTTATTTTTTATTTTTTATATTGTTTTATATTTTTGTATATTTTTTTATTTTTTATATTTATTTATATTCTTTTATACTTTAATTTCTTTTATTTTTTAATTATTTTGTTTGTTTATTTATTTTTAACGTTTTTGAAATATCTTAAATTTTGTATCTGCTTTTAATTAATTGTGTGAAAATTTTAATTTTTTATTTTGTATATGTATATTTATATATTTTTTTAATTCATGTATAAATATTTTAAAATTTTTTAATTTTATTATATTTTAATTTTATGATTGTCTTTAAATTTGTTTTAAATTTATATATTTACTTTTATATATTTTTTTAAGTTTAAAGATTTAAAATTTTGAAATATTTTTAAATTTTATAATTGAAACTTAAATATTTTTAAATTTTAATTTTATTTATTACTTTTATTTTTTTTATATTAATCGTTTTCATTATTTATTGTTTTAGTTTTTCTTGCCCTTTTATTTCTTTTAATTGTTTTGTAATCTTTTTTCTAATTTAAGTTTTATTTTTTTTGGTGTTTCTTTTTTCCAAATTAGTTTTTTTAATATTTTTTGTAATTATTTTTTTCTTATTTTTTGATTGGTTTGTAACTTGCCGATGTTTAATTATAATTTTTTTTGTATTGTTTTTTAACTTGCCTAGGGAATTTTGTTTGCAACTATGGTGACAGCTTTGAAAAGCCATACACCAACAGAGCAGAAAAGGAATATTTAAGTATTAGAAACAAGACATTAAGGCCACGTTTTATTACATAAAAATGGTGTTAAAAAACTAAATTTTTAATGGAAAGCGATTGAATTAAAAAATGTTTTAAGTGCCCCTTAGATAAATTTAAGCTTTTATCTTCCTCCTGCAAAATCGAATTTTCAACTTATAAGCGCTTAGCGGCTTCGAATGCTTAAAATTTACTAGACAAAACTTTTGTTTTAAAGTAAAATCAATGATTTGCCTTTTTAAGGAGCTATTTTCCGAATCGTGGTTTATAGAAAAAAATATCTAAAAATTTGGGTAAGAATGCGTAAAACTGCAAGGAAATCGAGTGTAGCACACATATGCGGACGGATATGCGAGTAGTAGTGTTTAGTACATAGTTGTAGTTTTTAATTACAAAGGAAACAAAAAACTGGAAATAATACAAATGAATCTATTTATATAAATGTCGAAACGATGGAAACTATATATACATGCAAACATATAAACAAATAAATAATATATGTATAACGATTCAAAGCATACAAGTTACTAATACCACATGCATACAGAAGAAAAGTAGCGGAAGTTGCAGAAAAAAATAAAGATAAAAAATTATCACAAAATAAAAAATAAAATATCACAAACGCATTACATATTACATTGTGCGCGTCTGTTCTCGTTGGTTAAAAAGTGAGTAAATAGCATAAAAATAAAAATAAAATCAAATAAACTATAAATTAAACCCGAAAGGCTAATTATTTATATTATTAAAATATTAACAATATACTCTGTGTGTGTGTATTTATTCAAAGTAAATTAAAATTTTGAAATTTTTTTCTACTTTGAATAAATTAAAAAAGAAGAAAATTAAAACTTACCATGAAAAAATAGACTAAAAAAAAAGAAAAAAAAACCCAAAATGAAAGAGTTAAAAACAGTTCTAATAAGTAAAGCAATACTTTAAGCATACGAAAACTACTACAGTATAGTTTAATATGTTAATTGAAAATGAAATTGAGAAAAGAAGAATATAAAAAATTTAAGGAAATGTATAAATCTAAACCTGCGTTAGTCCCAGTTTGTTAATTTTCAATATCACATTTTCAAGTTTCCGAATATTCGAAAATTTGTTCTCTACTCGTTTGCTGCTCCTTTCTATAATTTAGCGCAATTACTTTTGTTATTTAATAAGAGAAATATAATTTTGTAGCAAATGCAGCAAAAAATAACTAAAAGCTGTAAGAAAAATAATAAGGCTAGCACAACTTGATCAAGCGTATTTGAATTTGATTTTCAAAAATGTTAGTCACAAAATAAAGATTTCTCTAAGCGCTATTGCCGAGGCGACATACTTTTTTATGCATCTTGATGTTAACTTGATAAAACATAAAAAAACTCTGTAATTGAATTTTTCGAAATCTAATTTGGGTTTCGTAATATCGAGATTCGAAAAAAACTCATTTAGATTTCGATATTACGTTCAGTATCGAATTTTAAAAGAAGGAGAAAATAAAAAAATCGTCCTAAAAATTTCGAAATTTCTGCCTTTTTAAAAATATAAAATTGATTTAAAAATAATATAAAAAGAAAATTAAGAAAAACTAGGTTCCGAAATTCAGAGTTAAAAATTGCGATATTTTAATGAAATAAAATTATACTGTTGACTATATTTAAAAGTTTCAAACAACAAGGAAATTTTCGGTTATGAAAGAAAAAACCGGTGATTAGAAAAGATATAAATTAAAACAAAGCTTGAAGAATTGTTTAATAATAGGAGACAGTTTCTCCGTAATGAACCCCTCGAAAGAAAAGGAAAATTTCGAAAAAAATCGAGATTTTCGAAAATAGATTTCTAGATTCGAAATTTAATAAAATTCTCCACACTAAAAACAATTCATTTGAAAGTTCGACAAAGATAGGAGTCGTCCAAGAATAAGGGAACAAATTAATCTGTTCAAACATTTACGAGACATTTCGGAAACGAAAGAAATAAGATAATATCCAAAGTAATTTTCGAGATCTGAAGCTAAAAACATGCTCCGTAATGATAAATTTAAAAATTTCGTAAACCAGAATTTATAAAGTAAATTAAATAAGCCGATATAAACCGATCTTTGAAAAGTTCAAGAAGACATTTTCAAAAAAATGTATGACATTCGTTTTAAATCAAAGAATTTCAAAACC